CAGATTTCTCCTGTTTTGGCTTCCTGTTTAATCCAGGATTCAAAATCCTGCTCCTCACATACAAGGTCTTAAATAATCAGGCCCCATCTTATCTTAATGACCTTGTAGTACCATATCACCCTATTAGAGCACTTCGCTCTCGCTCTGCAGGCCTACTTGTTGTTCCTAGAGTATTTAAAAGTAGAATGGGAGGCAGAGCCTTCAGTTTTCAGGCCCCTCTTCTGTGGAACCAGCTTCCAGTTTGGATTCAGGAGACAGACACTATCTCTACTTTCAAGATTAGGCTTCAAACTTTCCTTTTTGCTAAAGCATATAGTTAGGGCTGGACCAGGTGACCCTGAATCCTCCCTTAGTTATGCTGTGATAGACGTAGGCTGCCGGGGATTCCCATGATGCATTGAGTTTTTCCTTTCCAGTCACCTTTCTCACTCACTATGTGTTAACAGACCTCTCTGCATTGAATCATATCTGTTATTAACCTCTGTCTCTCTTCCACAGCATGTCTTTATCCTGTCTTCCTTCTCTCACCCCAACCAATCACAGCTGATGGCCCCGCCCTCCCTGAGCCTGGTTCTGCCGGAGGTTTCTTCCTGTTAAAAGGGAGTTTTTCCTTCCCACTGTCGCCAAAGTGCTGCTCATAGGGGGTCATATGATTGTTGGGTTTTTCTCTGTATCTATTATTGTAGGGTCTACTGTACAATACAAAGCGCCTTGAGGGAACTATTGTTGTGATTTGACGCTGTGTAAATAAAATTGAACTGAATTAAACTGAAAATTAAATAAAAGTAAACTGAACCTGTAAGTTCAGGTGAGTGAGTTTTAGCACTTACTGCAGCCACTGTGATGGCTTTCGCTGGTTTATGTTGTTTTTTACATTTAAATAAAGGTGTTGAGATCTTTTCTTGGCTCTCACTTTTCTCCTCTCCTCCCTCCCCTTATCTTCCCTGCTTAGCCTCTTGTGTCCTTGTCTTGTCTCGTGTGTATTACTTTTCCCTGGAACAGTCTCTCACAGTCTGTTCTCTAAAACCTAAAGAAAATTATGGATTTGATCAACTGGTCTCTGAATGCTATTGACACCCTTTTCTCAACGAGAAGTCTGGGCTCAGGAGACCCCGAGTGCCCTGGAGGGACTGTCCCTGCCGGATACACAATGGACGGGTGGCAGACATGGAGGATTGTGTGCCTGGCGGGACTGTCAATCGAGGACGCTGAAGATATCTACCTATTCGGAACCATGATAACAGGGTTCATGCTGATCAGAGTTGGCTTGGCCCTGGCTTATCGGAGAATTAAGAAAGCAGAACCGGCTGTTCAACCCCCCCAAGGCTGCCCGCTGGAACTGAAGCGATGGGACGAGGCGCGACCTCTCACAACGAACGCAGCATGGCTAACACCTTGGAGATGCTTACAGCTGCCGTGAAGACTCAAAACAACACCATTGAGCGTATGGTGGGATACATCAGAGAGAGGCCTGCTCAAAATGAGACCCTTGTGCAAAAGTTGGATCACATCGCAGAACGGCTCACTGCAGTTGTGAGGTCTCAAAATCACAAGAATGACAACACCACGGACCAGAAGTTTGATACCATCATGGGGAGGCTCGCGGCTCTCCAACGGGAGATTGAGAGACCAGCGTCAGAGTGTTAAAGAACAGCTTTGAAATTCTCATGAGCTGCTCGCATAAAAGAAAAATCAACAATATCAACATGCGGACAACACGGCGCCAGCTGCACGGGCCCAAAGCTGGAGACGAACAAAAACTCCCTGATAACAACTGTGTGATGACCATTCTTCCCATCCCATGCCAGGCCACCTGGATTGGCTAGCAGACTGTTTACTTAGCCTGATAGGGCGAAGGACACTGTCTCAGGTGAACTATGGACACGCACACACTTACACTGATAAGCACTCACACATCCCCCCTCCCCTTCCAATGCCTTCGATGCTTGTTGCCTCCTGGGAACACGAGGCGAGTCTGGGCTCGCGCTGGAGAGTCGGCACAGTGGCAGGATGGCTGCTGTGTTGCCTGGAATTACTCCTTTCCCCTACCCAACCCTGTTGCTGGTCACGTGCTCTATAATGTTGTGCTGTGGACATTTATATGCTTTCTGTGCAGAGGAGTTTTTTTGTTTCCTGTTCTCATGCTGTCCTCCTGTAGCCCAGCATGAGTAGGGGTCTCTTTTTTTCCTCTTGTACTTTTCCCATTGTAGTGTACATTTCACTGTTTTTTTCTGTAATGCATCCATTCTCTGACTTGTATCCCCATGTGATGTCTGTGTTGTGTGTGTAAGGTCAGGGGGCGGGTTCATTCCACTGCAGGGCAACATGCATGTGGCGAATAAACTTTGAACTTGAACTTAAGCTGAAGCTAGCAGTTAGAGCCACCTGTGTCAACATCCACCTGCCAGTCAAAGTGGCCACGCCCTAATAATGACTGACTTATAACTATAGCTGTTACGAAGCAGCATGTATACAACAGACACTAAAGAAATAAACGGTTTTCAAAGTGTTTTATTGTAGCCAATGTAGCCCATCAGAATCCTTTTATATGGATGAGGAGCTAAAGTTTTCCACCAACATTCAGAGAAAAGCCTCTTTGGTAATGAAGGTTGTCGACGGTGTTTGAAGGTGGATCAGAAGTATGGTGTGGGGTCGCGCTTGTCGCACATCTGGACGTGGATGTGTGAGGTGATTCCCGGATAAACGCTCTGCATGGGCAGCATGGTGCCGATCCTCTGCCCCTTCCTCACCGTTCCTGAGGTTCGGTCCGGCCTCACGTAGAACAGCTTGAAACAAAGACCTGCAGGACGCAAACGCAACGCCTCGATCAGTGAATCAGTACCAGGATCAGTAACTCTGTTAGTGCTGGCTGCGCGTGATGACCCACCCTGTCCTGACAGGTTGATGCCCTCGTTGATGGCTGCCTTACTGGGGTCGGTGTAGACGGTCAGTTTCCCGTTAAGAGTCACGTCAAACGGAGCGTAGACAGCGGCGCCGTCGCTGCACTTGATGTCCAGCCCTTGGTGGAGTCTGGTCCCCCTGTAACCAGCAGACATCCAGCTGTGAGCAGCTGTGCCACATCGTCCACACCAGCCTTACAACAAAAACGTGATCTCTGAGTACCGTCCGGCTCCGTACTGTCCCTGTCCCCATCTGTCCGACGTCCTCCGGCTGTTGCTCGGGTTACTGCTGCACAGCTGACCGAACTTAACGCCGTCACACACCCACAAAACAGCTGGACACACACAGATTTAGACTTTTATGGACACAGCCTTGGGTTTTATTACAAACCTTGTCAATAAATTAAGTTACAAAGTGGATTTGGTCTTCTAGAAACAACTTCATGTTTAAAAATGATCTTTGAATTGTTAAACGTGCTGAGAGAATAACAGCGTGACTCGGGTGATCAGCTGATTAGGTGTAAACACTGTGATAACACCTGACTGATCAAAGGTAAACAACATCACCTGGTTAACAACATCGGTTCATCTGTTCATATATTCTTTCTTTAAAAGGTAAACATTTTGTTCTGTTTTTAAATAAGTGTATTTAAAAACATGCAAATCAAGCTTTTACCCCAAAATTTACATTGTTACACTGCAGGGACTGAATCTGTCCCTGTGTGGTTGGTGAGCCCATGTATGGAGGTCCCCATAATGTCACAAAGGTCAGTTTACATTTAAATTTCGTCCTTCTGTGTCATCCACAGTGAACTTTCACATGCTACATGCTGTTCTCAGAAATAATACGAATTCAAAGAATGGCAGCTTTAAGCTGTGACGGTTTAATCTTTGAAAGTTTCCTCACCCAGTAAAACGAGGAGGCGTCTCATCTTCAGCTGCGACCCTCAGGCTGAGCGCCTGCTCGTCGTCTCGCAGACTTTAAAGGCTGAAAACAAACAAACACTTTCAGGAGTTTTCGTTATTTCGCCACAGCAGAGAAAAGGGCAATGATGAAACTCAGTGTTTGTATTTGTGTTGCATCAGTCGCTGTGCAGACCAATGATCCAGCTCTCTGCAGTCAGCAGCTCCGGCTCAGATCACTGTTATACTATAATAATATTGTAATATTCAGCCTGCCTGACGGCCTGCTTGTGCCTCATGGATCATACAGATTCAGGATTTCATCGTGACATTAAGCTGACGCTCCTCACAGTGTGAAAACTAACATAAAATGACGATCATGTAATACAAGATCTATACATGAATGATACAATGACGTGACGAATTATAATGTTTACGTGCTGTCAGTGAGTCTGTGACTGTTTTCACTGGTTTTCTCACTTTTGTCTTCAGCCGTTGTTCCTAGAAAACATTCTGATTGCTTACACTGATGTGTTTTCCAAGTTCATCAGCTGAATGTGACAAACTGAGCAGGACCACGAAACGTGAAACCCTGGAAACGTGTGACCTTTGACCCCTGAGACAGCAGCTGTCCACACAGAGTGAAAATGAGTTAAAATCATCCGAGTGTCAGTTCTGATGGGTCCGAAGGCTCGGCCGCAGTGACCATCGCGCATGCGGGGTCCTCGAGCCCACAGGTCAGCGGTTAATCTGAGTGTTTGAGTTGGCCTCTGTCGTTCCCTGACGTGACCTCGTCTCCACAGCACAGACTGAGTGAACGAACTCAGAGGTCAGGACTACACCAGAGTCTGTGCTGAAGCGCCCTGATGTTCTCTGAGCTTCAGCTGTTTCTGTTACAGTGAAGAAAACTCATCTGGAGTCTAAACCAACACAAACGTTAAATCTCTGAAGGAAAACACACCTCACACTCTGACACTTGATTTTATTCTCCATTAAAACTGTTTCTATACAAACTTTACAAACGTGACAATCACAACACATGAAAACACACACACACACACACCCCCCCCCCCCCCCCCCCCCCCCCCCCCCCCCCCCCCCCCCCCCCCCCCCACCACCACCACACACCACGCACACACGCACACACGCACACCGACACACACACACACACCACACACACACACACACACACACACGGGGCAGAGACGGGCTGACGAGTTTCGTGGTCACGTGACAAAGGTTGGCGTTTCTGAATCTCATAAATTTGCGTCATTAGCGTAAACGTGTGAAAGTCTTTCTGGACAAAACGATGAAAACAAACGAAGAATGAAAAACTGGGAAACGTAGCGACGACCTCACATCTGCACGTCCAGCCTGGATGACGAGTGCTGTCGTGCGGTCAGTTGAGCGTCAGCCCCTCGCTCACGGGCATGTTGATGTGGGCGGTGAGCAGCGGCGAGCTCCTCCCCTCGTGCAGGACGAACACCTTGATGACGTCAGAGATGCCCTTGTCGCTGGTGCACTCGACGAAGGTCTCCACGGGGTAGATGAGCCCGGGCACGAGCAGTGGGATCCTCATGTAGGGGTTCCTCATCCGGTACAGGCTCTCGTCGTACAGGAAGCTGATGGCGAGGTTCGTGACGGGCCGGCACGCCGCCGTGTTCTGGACATTCAGGGTCAGTTTGAAGGACGGGCCCAGACCCTGCACCACGGCGTTCATCTTCAGCGGCTCAGCGAGGCTGGCGGACATCGGCGTCAGGCTGGACTCCAGCGCTTTGACGTAGGCTTTGGCGGCGGCCAGCCGCAGGCGGCTCAGGTCCATCTGGAAAGCGCGGTGCATGGCCAGGCCGCTCTCCCGCTCTCTCAGCGTCTGGTCCACGTACAGCTTCGTCTTCTTGGGCACGTTGAGGCGAATGCTTTGGGCCAGTGGCGGGCCGGGGGCGCTGTCTCTGTCATCGAACGACGCTGTCCTCTTCAGGATCTTCACCATCAGACCGCCACCCTTGGTGGTCATGATGAGGGTCCCGTCCTCGCGGCCGTAGCGGCCGAAGCAGATGCTGGTGACCACGTCGGGGGTCTTGATGGTGCTCAGCAGGTTCTTGTCCCGGTACAGCTGCACCTCACAGTTGGCCAAACCCACCAGAACCGCCTGGAAGCCCCTGGTAGGGAGGTCCATGGAGGCCATGGTGACGATGGGCGCGGCGAGCACGGTCTTCCAAAGCTTCTTCCCCTGAACATCAAACACAAACATGGTTTATCGCGACTGCACCCCCTCCCAAGTTCTGAGATTCACAAACATGTGGCTGCAGGGGCGGGGCTTACCTTCTGTGTGAAGCCCTGCAGGGTCTCGTCAGTGCAGCCGACCACCACGTTCTTCCCGACTCTCACCAGGCCGACGGCGTGAGACGACAGCTCGATGCAGTACTTGGGTTTGTCCGACTCCCTGAAGGACGCACAAACGAGGAAACTGTGTCAGGGTCAGGGAGCTTATTGTCCACACACCGACAGAGTGGCGAGCAGTCCAACATCAACACAGCAGCGCGACCACAAAGTCGTTATTACTGGACCGTAAGATGTTAAAGAATATTCTCGAGTATCTGCTGCAGCTTCATCACCGCTGAAGGAAAAAGAAAACACTGAGCTACGCTCGTCTGGCCCTGAAACTCGGAGCTCTGTAGGTGTGTCTCTGCTCACTGATGATGTCGCAGTGGAATCAAGTTTAAACTGCACTTTGGAACATGAAAATGGAAGATAAGTGTTCCTGCGTTCCTTCTGCAGTCGTTTTTCAGAGGACGAGAGCGAGGGATAGAGCTTCCTGCCCTGCACAGGGACATGACGTCGGCCCTGTCACACCGGCCTCTGCTCCACGAACGTTTCACAGACAGCTGTGCTTCATTCTGCTCTATTGACCAGCGTGGGTCAGATGTTCGGACAGGTTGGTCAGGACTTTCACGCAGCAGACCGGGTTCCTGTCCCGAGGGGTTCCTGTACTTCTTTTTAGACTCATATTTACGTTCTGTTTGTTCGGGTTCATGAAATGATCGGGCCTTTTGCTAAAAGGTTAACGATGTGCTTCCACTTCTATCTGGAGATGTTAGCATCAGCCCACTCCTCCCATTTTACAGCCTTTATTGTGAAAGGAATCTACAGGTGTGCCTCACCTGCGCAGGATGTAGATGTTGCCGTTGCGACACACCGCCGTGATGCGAAACTCCACATCGAATTGACCCGTCACATCCATGATGGTGGGGACGGCGGGCAGCGTCATCTTCAACACAAGGGTTCAGTTAAAAAGTGACCTTTGTTTTCTTTATGTTTGCTCTCAGGTAAACAGGGAGACGACCGGTGTTCGGGACGGGGGTTATTTTGCAGGACGTCTCAGAAATGTGTCTAAATCTTTCAGTGAGTGCCCACTGCTGATCCCTGTGGCGCTCCACAGGCTGGCCTCAGCTGCTTAGAAGTAAATAAACAGATGCAGTCGGTCCCACAGTGGGCCGTGGAGCGACTTTACCTTGGAGAGGATGATGAAAGCTTCGGGGTCGAGAACGAAGACCTCGCCGCTCTCCGTCCCGATCACCAGGCAGCTCACGCCGTCCTCATCTGCCATGTTCTTCTTCAGAGTCCCGATGCAGGTGATGACCGTCTGAAAGAATGAGCCAATGAGAACATGAGCTGGGGACAGAAACTGAGAAACTGCTGTCTGTATATTTAGACCTTTGATGAGGCGCTGCTCCCTCCTTATGTTCATTTGTCTTTATGCTCCTGAGAACTTACAGACCAGATGATGAGCCATCTGTCAGAACTGCTTTATGTCTGCAACAGAGGCTGCATATGGAGTCCCACAGGGATAGCTTGTAGGTCCTCTTTGGTTTGACTTTTCTATGAAAAGGTGAATTAACCTGTCAGATGGTTGAAAACTAACCAAACTAACCTAAACTAGTCTAACTAAACTGTGAAATCTGATATTGTCACGAACTTTGAAACCTGACCTTCCACGAAACAGACTTACACTTTACGAAATGTAAAACATCACCTGCTGTAAAACCTGAGCATTTTGAAAAACGTATGTGATACATTAGATAACTACGAAGCACCAGCCCTCGGTCCACAGGCCCGGCCGATAGAATAGATCAGCAACTATTGGCCAATAAAGTTAAAAAAATCAAATAAAACAATGTGGAAATTTACAGCTTGTGTAGGTTGCGTGAGGAGGGTGTTAAAGTGTCTTGTGCTGTAGTGAGCAGCGTTCTGCTGTACAGATCATTCTCTGGAGAGCTTTTTTATCCTTCACACAGCTGTTCCCAAACCACGATGTCATGTTCTGTGTGAGGATGCTCTCCACAGCGCCTGTATAGAAGATCCTGAGGATCTTTGGAGAGACCCTGAACTTCCTCAGTTGTCGTAGGTGATACAGGCGCTGCCTAGCCTTTTTGGTCTGGACCTGAATGTGGGCAGCCCATGTCAGGCTGAGGAGATGTGGACACCAAGATACTTGAAGGACTGCACCCTCTCCACTGGAGCTCCATTGATGATAATGGGCTTGTAGTCTCTGTGCTGACTCCTTCTGAAGTCCACCACCAGCTCCTTGGTCTTGCTGACGTTCAGCTGGAGGTGGTTGTCCTGGCACCACGATGCCAGATTCTTCACTTCATCCATGTAGGCCGCCTCATCGTTGTTGGAGATGGCACCCAACACCACTGTGTCGTCAGCAAACTTCACAATGGTGTTGGAGCCATGGGTGGCCACACAGTCTGAAGTGTAGAGGGAGTAGAGCAGTGGCGAGAGGACACATCCCTGAGTGCTCCTGTGTTGATGGTGATGCTGTTGGAGAAGCACCTGCCCACCCTCACCACCTGAGTTCTGCCAGTGAGGAAGTCCAACACCCATGCACACAGACGGCTGTTAAGTCCCAGATCCCTCAGCTTTGTGAACAGTCTGCTGGGCACTTTTGTCAGTGGCGAGACCCGCGTTGTAGGTGGCGGTCTTGGTGTTCACTGCAGCGCGGATCGATCTGTCCACCCACGGTTTCTGGTTCAGGAATGTCACGACTGTCGCAGTGGGGATGATCTCATCCACTAGCATGTTTATGAAGCTTACTGCTACATCCGTAAACTCGACTGCGCATGCTCTGAACATGTCCCAGTCGACGTCGTTGAGCGCGTCCTGTAGCGTAGCTTCTGATTGGGGAGACCAGCATTTCACCTCCCTCGTAGCTACTTCATCCCTCCGAATGTGTTGCTTATACTCTGGGATGATGAGGAAGATGGCGTTGTGGTCAGACTTCCTAAAGGCCGGGTGTGAAACAGCCTTGTAGCCCTGCTTGTATGGCGTGTAGCAATGGTCCAGTATCCTATCCCCTCGTCGGACACGTGATATGTTGGTGAAAGGTCGGCATGACTTGTCTGAGGTTCGCTTCATTAGGTCTCCTACTACAATGAGGGCTGAGCCCAGATCCCTGTTTTGAAAGGCACTCAGCACATCATGTAGTTCGGATAGAGCCATACCTGTGTCCACTTGGGGTGGGATGTAGACCACTGCAGCGATTACCGAGGTGAACTCACGGGGAAGGTAGAAATGGCGGCACTTAATGCTCAGAAATTAGGAATCAGGAATTCCAGATGTGGCGAGCAGCCGCTGGAGAGAGTAGAAATGCTCCTGGGGTCACACAACTTTCTGTTTACCATGAAACACACTCCTCCACCTTTGTTTTGTTCGACTCTGCCGTTCTGTCTGCGCGGAGCACGAAGAATGAATCCGACGGAGTTACGGCCTGGTCCGGCACGGTGGGGGTCAGCCATGTCTCCGTGAAGCACAGCATGTTGCAGTCCCTCATGTCACGTTGGAAGGTGACTCTTGCCCTCAGATCATCTAGTTTGTTCTCCAACGACTGTACATTAGCCAGCAAGATGCTGGGCAGTGGTGCGCGGTGCGCCTGCTGTCTCAGTCTGTTCCGAACGCCAGCGCATTTCTCCGGCGTTTCTTTGTTCGGCACCTGGGGTGAGCGTCCTGTCCATTGTTGTTGGCCGCACCGCGTAGTATCTCGGTCGGCCATGATGGGTCTGGTTTAAAAGTGTCCAAGATCACCGATGTTGAGAAGGGAGCTACTGTCCAACTATAAAACTAGAAGTTCCTGGAATGTATAACAAGGTAATGAACAAGTAAACAGCTAAAAAGGTGCACAGTCTGTGCGGAGCGGTCAGAAGGCGTCTGGACGTGGCTGCGCCATCTTGTAAATCATTCTTTGATTTACATGATGACAGAGTGTTTTGGACTGTTGGTGATGAGGTACAGATTTATACAGTGAACCATCAACACAAACAGGAGCTGACATGTGAAACAGGTAGAAGAAGAAAACCACATGAATCATAAAGACAGATTTAAAAGGACTGCGGTGATGTCATTGTGGACGATGCGACCTGGGAGTTACCTGGCGCTTGATCGGCTGGTGTTTGAGCAGTTCAACAAACTCGTCCATCTCGTGGGGCTCCAGAGACAGGAAGCTGAGCGAGCGGACCGACAGCGGCACATCGGCCTTCTTCCTGATGCTCTCCAACATCTCCTTCAGGGTCAGAGGGTTGATCTGCCCCTCCTTCACCTGCTGCCACACATCCTGACCAATCAAAGCGCAGCAGCACGTCACAGGTACATTCAGGTGTGTTTACAGTGAAAAGGACACGCTCACTGCTTTTAAATGACATTAGGTTCAGTGTGGTGATTTCCGACTAACATCCACTGAACAGTAGCTGATATGGCTCCTCAACATAAGACAGCACATCATCAGGGCACAGTAACATCCTGTTCAGACTGATCTAAACGCTCTACCACTCCGGAGCCTGCATGACATCAGAAAAGAGGAGGATCCTCCAACTGTAATAATAATAATAAATTGTATTTATAAAGTGCCTTTCAAGACACCCAAGGACACTTTGCAATAAGATAAAACATAATGGAACAATGACACAATGAAGAACAATAAAAACAAAAGCACAAGATAAAATGAACAAACAGTGGGTTCACAGTGAATATGCAGATTTGAACAGATGGACTTTGAGCTGGGATTTAAACTGGGGGAGAGAACCAGTGTTTCTTATTTCTGGGGGTAGAGAGCTCCACAGCCTGGGAGCAGAGCAGCTGAAAGCTCTGCTTCCCATGGTGCTGAGGCAGAAGGAAGCTGGATAGAAGGAGAAGATCGAAGTGAGCGGGTAGAAGAGATAGTGCTTAACAAGTCACAAAGGTAAGGAGGAGCGAGGTTATGAAGGGCCTTGAAGGTGAGCAGAAGAAGTTTGAATATTATCTGGATTTTCACTGTGAGCCAGTGGAGTTCCAGAAGAACAGGTGATGTGCTGGTAGGAGGGGCTCTGGTGATAATGCGAGCAGCAGAGTTCTGAACCAGTTGCAGCTTATGGAGGGATTTTTGGGGAAGACCATGCAAAAGAGAATTGCAGTAGTCATATGGGAGGTAACGAGACTGTGGACAAGAATGGACGTAGACTGGGTGGAAAGTGAAGGACGTAATCTCTTAATGCTGCGTAGATGGAAGTAGGCGGAACGGGTGAGATTATTGATGTGAGATTTATAGGAAAGTGAACTGTCTAGGATGACACCAAGGCTCCTAACCTGAGGAGAAGGGAGAACTGAGGAGTCATCGATGGTGAGTGAGAAATGGTTTGCCTTCAAAAGGTTGGATTTGGTGCCAATAAGGAGGATCTCAGTTTTATCCTCCTTGAGCTTTAGAAAATTAGAGCTAACCCAGGATTTTAACTCGGATAGAATGGTCTGTGGTCATCTTCACATCTGCTACAGCCAAACAGAAGATGAAGTGCCTGGAGATAAACATAACTGGACCCCTGGTTCATTTAAGGACTGTTTGTCCTTAAATGAACCAGGGTCCCCATGATGTAGGTAATATAAGCACACACACTCGCACACAGACAGACCTGCTCCAGTGTGTTGATCTCCAGGCCAGGCAAGGTGAACTTGAAATATGGCCGCAGGTTCTTGTAGACGTAGATGCAGGGTCCGGAGGCCACAGCGACAGCGGGGATGCGGGGCTCGTGCAGGTCCATGAAGAAGGCGACGAGGCCAGCGGGCAGGTCAAGCAGGGTGCTCTCGCTCATCAGCGCCGTGCCGCGGTACACCTTCAGCTTCATCCCCGACGACCCGGAGCCCAGATCCCCGACCACCAGCCGGTTCTCCCCGTCCCCGCTCAGGTCTGCCAGGTCCACGCAGGACGAGAAGGTGTAGATGCCAGCCACCGGGTCGTAGTGAGCGTCCAGCCACTTCCCTCCATCACCACTCGACTCAGCGGAGGACATCACAGCAGAAGGGGCAGGCGAAGCTTTATTCACACAGGGTCGTCACAGGAAGAGGCCTGAGCACAGACCGTAAAAACATGGAAACAGCTTTCTGGTCGGAAACCGCTGTATTCTATCTGAAAGCTACCAGGTGACGACAGTTGTAGCTGAGTGGCTCGTTTTGGTCACGCTGAATAAAAATGAAATGTGTTAGCACGGCCTCCTTCACTACATCCATGAACCTCCTCTGAGGTCTTCTTCGTCTCCTCCTGCCTGCAGCTCCATCTTCATCCACCTTTGGCCCATATAGCCACTCTCTATCAATACCTGAACCTCTGCTCCTTCCACCTGTCTCCCTTTCATTCAAACACCTTTCATACCTCCACCCTCCAGGCTCTTCTCCACTCGCTCCTTTCTCTCCCCACAGATCTGCTTTTTACTTCACTCCTGGTTTAATAACAGTTTGTGATGTGAGAGGGCGCTGTTACCTACACACACGTGCTGCTCTCTCGAGACGCAACGATATTTAATCGTTGTATGTTAGTCTCTATCAGTATCCTCTGCCTCCTGTCATGTGTATTATTAATTGACCCCTCTCAGCTCGCGTACCGTGTTTGATGGATCTGATTTCCAGAACTCTCTCACCTGTTAGAGGTGAATCGCCACACTATGGACCCAAAGAGTTAATCAATAGCGGCACTAAAAATAATTCCCCTCCTCCCGGGTTGTCTCACCGTTGTCAAGGCAACCGTGTCGCTTCGTCTTCGTCCTCCGCCCGTTTGCTTCTTTTCGCGGCGTTTCTTCGGTGGAGCCGCTGCAGCTTCGCCTCACGGAGTCACTTTGGTCCCGATAAAGAGGAGTAAGTCCAACTGGATCCGCTGCAGTCAGCATCTAATCCCCAAATCCCCTTCAATCCTCCTGCCCGTTACCGACGCCACACGATGACGTCAATTTCATGCGGCGGTGTTTTTTTTTTTTTTTTTACCGAACAAGAATTCATACATAGAAGAAAATTCAGTCGAATAGAAGAGAAAATTAAATAAAGTTTATGTTACATTTTTTCTTAAAGGGCTGACAGCTATTCTTAATTTCAAATATGACGGTTGATTTCTTTAACCACACTTGTTCATTTGTTACTGGCTTCGATAACTTATTTCTATATTTCTGAAATATAGAAAACTCCAAACTCGACAATCACTAAACAAAACCAGCAACAACAAAAAGCAGCGTCGTGTGACTTTATTTGTTAAAAAGAAACACTATATTGATCTCGCGAGATTCTATATGAAGGCAACAACGATTCTGTGACGTTGCTTCGTATACGTTCTGTGATTGGTCGTACTGTTCTAGTTTAAAAAGTAAACCGCGGAGAGGACAGCGCAGCAAGGCCGATAGGCAGTGATTGTTTCTCATGTTTGCGGTAGTAAATAGAGTGTGTGTGAAATAAAATATACGACACGTGAGTTCGAGTTTCATACAATATCGCTTTAATTCGTAATCCTGTCATTTAAAACGAAATTCCGCTTTGCTGAAGTCGTAAAAACGCGTAGATGAGATGGCTAATGCTAACAACAAAGCTAGCGGAGTGTAAAAACGGTCTTTGTTTACCTTCTGTTTGCTGTTGTTTCTTTGTGTTTGTTTGCTGTGATTGGTCAAAGATGTGATTTACTCTGAGCTGTGTTTGTGTGACTGTGGTGGCCAGTTTTAGTCAGGCTGTTTACACTCCAGTAGCTTGTATTGGGGCAGTGCTGGAGTCAGGCCGAACTCCATTATCATTTCTGGGAAATTAAAACTCTCGTTTGAATCTCAGTCGCACAGAAGCCGGCTGATCATGGGAGACATGTTTAAAGGCAGCACCTCGTTTAGCTGGTAAAATCGGCGCAGATTAAAGCTCTATTAGGCGCTTAGCGGGCGTCTAGGCTGCCTGTGAGCTGTAGGTGAAACTCCCCGCGGGGAGACTGATAAAACGGTGGTTGATTGGACTGATGTGTTTGCAGAGAGAATGGATTCCAGTTTAGCTGGAAGGCCGGAGAGAGTGGGACCAGTGGAAGTGGGGGACATAAAGAAGGACCTGCTGGCTGAGTTTTCTGCCATGCCAACACAGGTAGGTCCACCACGGTCTGCCCTGACCTCGGACACAGTGTTGCCAACTCGTCAGTAAGGAAAATCGCTATTGGCTGTCCTAGAAGTGGCTAGAAGTCGCTAAATGACATCATCGCCTAATCTGCATAATTGGTCATGCTAATGTAATTGTAACCTATGTTGTTGGAGAGAGAAATAACATCGTGGAAGATAGGGCTGCTCGATTATGGCAAAAATGATCATCACGATTATTTTCACTGAAATTGAGATTTCGATTATTTGACGATATTTATTTAACCCTTTAAGACCTACCATAGAACCAAGTCCGCCAGAGCTTATATTATATTTTTTACATGCTGTAGTGCCATTTTTGGGAGCATTTCAAGTTGCTATACATCAATACAACTGTTATAGCCCATATTTTAATAATATGTATGCATTAAGTCCATAGTAATTACATTAATTACAAAAAAGTGCAAAAAACTACAAAAAAATTGAAAATCGTTTTTGTTTTTGCATATATTTCTACTTGGGGAAATTTAAGAGGTTTGTCCCTCAAAACTTTAAATACAAAAAAGTTGCAAAAAATAGTTTACAACAACAGGAAATTTATTTTGAGTGTCTTCATAGTTTTATTTTGGAGATACACCAATTTTTATATACTGCAGGAAAAACAAAAAACAATCCTATGATGCAAATTTGCAAAGAAAACAGCAGGTGCATCAAAATAGACTATTTCCAGCAGTGCAATTTGAGTTCTAAGCATCCCAGAAACTATTCAGAAAAGTATAGAGTCAAACATGACTTATAAAAACACCAGTATAGGCTTTTAAGGCCTACAAGTAAAAAACAAACAAACTAATTTTCCATGAAAATGAAAATGATTGGCTCGGCAAAGCGTGTTTCTGGAATATTATGTTTTTGTTTCTGCAAGCGCTTTTTATGCAATTTTTGCAAAGCTATATGTGGAAGGAAGCTGATGGCATAAGATGTAAGTACAACTCCTCCGGTTTCATATGCAAAACAAATTATTGCGCTAGCTTACGCTGTTCCGGTTCTACAGGGATTTAAAGGGTTAACAATAACAATGTATTGAATAATGACTTAAAAAAAAATAAAATAAAATAGTGTGCAAATATTGATAACAGTGCAAATGTTTGCAATATAAAAAAATAAATGAAAAATGTAAACATCTGTGTTTAGTGAACTTTGCAGTGTTGCTCTGTGGCGCAGCTATGACACTGTAGCAAAGTTTACACACTGTCTACTTGATCCACGTCAAGTAGAACCCATAATGTTTCCACACCACTGAAGTGTTTTTTTCCTCTCTTTTCAACCAGCGGCAGTCACTCTCCTCCCCAAATAACTTCTGCTTAGCTTTCCGAGCTTCCCTTGGGTCCTCTTAATTGTTGTGACACGTGTTGGAAATGCAGAGAGGTGCGCTTGATTTGCCACACGGAGCAGCGCGAGAGTAAAGCACGAGGGAGGGGCTAATAATCGGCTCAGTCATTTTTAATGATCGTTGAAAGCCCAGATCGTAATCGTGATTAAAATTCGATTAATTGAGCAGCCCTAGTGGAAGAGACATAAAGTGAGTAAAAAAACGTCCTAAATGCATTTAGAGTTTATTTAGAACTACAAATTAAATTTCTTTTAGCAATTATGGTTTTTTTAATGTCACAATTCCAACCCTGCTACTTTCCCCGGGCTTGGACCGGCAAAAGTGACCCGAAATAGGCGCTCTGGTGGAGTTATTTTGTGTGTGTTTATAAGTAGTTTTAAACCTTGTGATCCAGTAAAAGAAGAACACTGCGTTACAGCACCCGCTGCTTGTTGAGAGTAAAAGCGACACGCGCTTTCACGTCTTTTTTTAGCGACTTTTTTTTTTTTAGAAATAAAGTCACTAAGGGGTCTGAAAACTCGCTAAATATAGCGACAAAGTCGCTAAGTTGGCAACACTGCTCGGACAGGCTGTAGTACATCACGGACCCATCCATGGGACTTGCAGAGCAACGTCACACTGTGCTGTTGTTCCTGCACATGTTTAAATCAGAGTCTGTCCTTTGAACCACATACACAGAGAGATCCACAAACACCACAAACTGTCTTCCACACAATGAAGATCTCTGTGGTCCTTTTATGTTTGATGCCCACTGATGTGTGTAGGGATTATTCAAAGCATCAGTACAGTCACCATTAACAGTGATGTTTTCTTCCAGTTTGCTGTGAAATCAGAACCATTTTCTTTGTTTATTGTTTATTGGTTTCCAGGAAATTTTCCATTAAAAGCATCCAGTGTATTCATCCTCCATGCACACACATGCACATCTGTACCTGCTGTTTCCTGTAACATGCCGTCGCTGTCTGATGGTTACCTGTTCTAGAGTTGGATGCAGGTCATGTAACTGATGCTGCTCTCTCTGCAGGACGACGCTCAGGAGCAGTCGGAGAACCTGCAGGTTTACCTGAGGGTTCGACCCTTTACTGCAGCCGAGAGCGGCAGCGGAGAGGCACAGGTGACACACACACACACACACACACACACACACACACACACACACACCGCAGTGTTTTACAGGGATTCACTATTCCAGCTTTCTCCTACTCTGGGTGTCTACAGCAGAGATCAATGGTACCAGTTCTGTATTCCTCACCGAGGAGCATGCTGGATGTCATTCAGTTAAAAACAGAGGACTGATGTGAGACACAGGTGAAGCTGGCAGGAACCAAACTTCCATTCAGTCCACGCTCAGCAAAGCTTCACTAAACACAAATTTTAAGGAGGATAAGACAGGAACTTCTTCCTCACATAACGTTTACACGCAGAGGGAAACTTTCTTATTCCTGATTCCATCATCTGTTATGGATCAGATCTGTCACACGCACACCGCCACGTCTTTGTGACCTGCTCACAGACCTGGACTGTTCACAGTCTGTAGGCCTGAATGAGCAGCGCAGGTGTGTTTTCCTCTGTAGGACTGTGTGACCATCGAGGGGCCGGACACTGTGATCCTCAAGCCTCCCAGGAGCTGCCAGTCAAACCGACAGAGCGACAAGTCCCTCCCACAAACGGCCCAGAGGTTCACCTTCACGCAGGTACGTGTCACCTGACCGGAGCTGTGCACACCCGTCCCACTTGCTTCACGCTGTTGTTGCCGTGGTGCCTTCAGGTGTGTCGTTTCTGTCGTGGTTGTATTTCAGGTGTTCGGTCCGGAGGCGAGTCAGAGGAAGGTGTTCGAGGGCTCCGTTCGGGGTTTGGTCCGAGACGTTCTGCAGGGAGGAAACTGTCTGGTTTTCACGTACGGAGTCACCAACGCCGGGAAGACCTTCACCTTCCTCGGTCAGAGCGCCGCCCCCTCCTGTCTGCCATCACCCGCCTCTCTGCCCGACTCTGACTAACTGTCCGTCTGTCGCTCAGGTCCGGACCACGACTCGGGTCTGCTGCCCAGGTCCCTGTCGGTCATCTTCAACAGCATCGAAGGCCGCCTTTACGGCCGCTGCGACCTGAAGCCTCAGCGCTGCCGAGACTTCAGCAGACTGACTCCAGACCAGCAGGCGACCGAGAGCAGCAGCAAGAGGAACCTGCTGAGGATGCTAAAGGAGGTGAGGCGGGCGACGGGGAGCGTCGCAGCATGGTGTGAGCGCGTGCGGTGAGCTGAGCTGTCTCTGCTTCCTCTCCACAGAGCGACAGAAGCGCGACAACTGGAAGGTCGGCGTTCCTCGAAGGTCAGTGACTCTGATTTAATCAGGATGGGACTAAAAGCTGGAGAAACGCCGAGCTTATGATCTTTGAAGGTGGTGTTAGGCGTGATCACTGATCTGTGAAGATAAACTGCAGGAGTTGAGTGT